AGTTCTTGGAGAATTCCGAGTATTAGAGATTTGAATTCCCTAGGTGATTCTGATGCAATGCCTGTTGTAGGAACCATTGCACCACTTTGCCTTATCAGTTTGATACTCAAGACCCTCTGCTGCCTGGCTTTGCAAGTGAATCACCTCCACATGTTGTAATCAGAGTGCTCACCACTCCTGTTACATGTCTGTTGCTCCCCTACCGTTTTATGCGTTTTTTTCTGTCAGTCTCTTGTGCTTAGAAGGTTCTCCTTCTGTCTCTGAATCTTGAAATCCCTCAGGGCTGCCTTTTCTATGGCATTTTACTCATTCTAACCCTTAAATGATGCCAAAAATAGGGCTCAAAACCCATGTGCCCTTGAAAGGCAGTTGCTGTGGGCAGAGACCATGTCTTTACCCTGTATCTTCACAGCTTCAAGGAGCTTGCACTTAGGGCCTCAGCAGACATGTCTTAGATGAGTAGATCGATGCCAGCGGTCCAGGGGATAGTTGTAATAAACATGGAAATTTATCACAGCAACCTCAAAACCTTGGGGGTTGTAGCTTAGACATTTCTAAATTCCCCTTAAAACACTATTATCCAGGATTTGTTTATGTCTATGTGTGTTTACAGTCATTATTATTGATTCTTGCTAACTAGTGGATAAAATGACATCTCAGTGATTTGAGGTAGTTACTTGAAACAAGTTTGTTTTCCCCCTTCCCAGACACATCATCTCAGAATTGGAGCACCTGGACTTTGTGAACACGGATGTTGGCCGCTGCCGGGCATGGCTCCGACTGCCCTCGATGACGGACTGATGGAGTGCTACCTGAAGCTGCTCCTCCAGGAGCAGGCCCGGCTGTGTGAGTACTATCAGCCCACAGCCCTGCTTCGAGATGCCGAGGAGGGCGAGTTTCTCCTTAGCTTCCTGCAGGGACTAACGTCTTTGTCCTTTGAACTCTCCTACAAGTCTGCCATCTTAAACGAGTGGACACTCACCCCACTGGCTCTCTCCGGGCTTTGCCCACTCTCTGAGCTAGACCCTCTCACTACCTCTGGTGCAGAACTACAGCGGAAGGAGTCCCTGGATTCAATTTCCCATTCCTCGGGCTCAGAGGACATCGAAGTCCAGCACTCAGGCCATAAAATCCGGCGGAACAGGAAGCTCACTGCCTCCTCCCTCAGCCTGGACACAGCCAGTTCGTCCCAGTTGTCCTGCAGCCTGAACTCCGATAGCGGCCTTCACCAAGAAAATGGCTCCAAGAGTCCAGACTGTTCTGAGGAGCCCATGTCCTATGAGTCAGACCTGGGGACAGCAAATGCTGATGATTCAGACCGCTCTCTGCAAGAGTGAGTACCCCCCTACCTCCCTCTCTCTTTCCCTCCTTCTCTCTCCTTCCTTTCCTCCTTGCTTTCACATGGGATTTGTGATTGTCTGTCACTGAGCACTGAACTCTATTAGGGTATAAAGAAAGACAAAGGAGACATCATTCTTCTTCTTCAGGGACTGGAGGAGCTGGGAGCTGTAACTGGAAGCAACATGGGGGCAGTGGGAAGAATGGACATAGGGCTCAGAGCTAATTAAATGTCCAGCTCTGACCCTGGATGACCTTTGGCAAGTTACTTAGTCTCTCTGAGGCTCAGTGTAAAATATTTCAGTATAAAAAATTCTCATCTAGAAGGGAGGAAGCTAACAGTTCAGATTGATATCTACAACTTCCAAAAAATACCACAAGGCATAATGCATAAGGGTGTGATGTAGTAACACAGAAGACATGGAGAACATGAAACTTGAATGGCCTGTGGAGGAGGTGGTAGACAACTGGGGACAAGCAAGCGTGTAGAGGAGTGTATGGTGCAGATTAACCAACTAGAGAGGGAGAGCCTGGGACAGAGCCTCCTTCATACAGCCTTTTTTTAAAAAATTTTTGAATAGATAGTCTATTTTTATGGTGAAAAAAAAGTAGCCCTGGTGGAGCAGTGGTTAAGTGCTCAGCTGCTGACTGAAAGGTTGGTGATTTGAACCTACCAGCTGCTCTTCAGGAGGAAGATGTGGCAGTCTGCTTCCCTAAAGATTTACAGCCTTGGAAACCCTATGGGGCAGTTCTACTCTGTCCTGTAGGGTCACTAAGAGTCGGAATCGACTTGACGATAATGGGTTTGGTTTTGGTTTTTTGTCCAAAGGTCAAGGTGTCCAAGGTGCTCCTACCTTGGTTCAGGTCCTTACAAGGTTCCCATCTGGTGTGAGAATAATACTGGACTGGACTGGACTTGGAGCCAGAGCTGGTTTCACGCCCTGTCCCACCGTGTACAAGTCCACTAATGTCAGGCAACTTGCAGACTGTTTCTGAGGTTGTATTTCTTCATCCATAAAATGGAGATGCCCTTATAGGGCCATTTGAGAATCAAATCAGATGCCTGTTAATGACTTGAATACATGAGAATGTCTGATAGGCCCCATAAAAGACTTCCAAGCACTAGCACATTGGAATGGGATTTTCATGTGTCAAGCGGGGGAATTTAGATCTAACATATAGGGAAGGAGC